GCTTTTGAGGTCATTGCCATTAGTCTGATTTATTGCTATGATTATTGTTAGAGTTGTTTGCTATATTTTGTTCGGTTTTGGGCTTTAGGAGGTTTTAGGGTTTGTGTGCTTTTGAGGTCATTGCTATTAGTCTGATCATTGCTATGATTATTGTTAGTATTGCTTGTTGTATCTTGTTCGGTTTTGGGGCTTTAGGAGTTCTACAGATGTTGTTTGGGTGTTTGCTTCTTTGGGTTTAGTTGTGTTGGTTTGTTTGTTGTGTTTTGGGTTGATTTTTGTTGGGGGGTTTTAGGGTTTCCGGGTCTTTTTTCCCAAACCCTAAACCCTAAACCCTAAACCCTAAACCCTAAACCCTGAACCCTAAACCCTAAACCCTAAACCCTTGAAGGGCTCACAGGGTTCATGGGGCTTTGGGGCTTAGATGGTTTCAAGCCACGCGCCGCCTCGAGGGTGGCGAGCTCCGCTCCTCCGTTTAGGCTTTAGGGTTTAGGGTTTAGGGTTTAGGGTTTAGGGTTTAGGGACAGGCAGATTCAGGCTCAGTACTTGGAAACCCTTTTTGTCTTCGTAAGTAGGGTTAGTGACGAGGGTTATGGGGATTCTGATAGGATTCTAGGGGATATTAAGTAGACTTACTAAGTCAAAAGAGCTTCTAAGTAGTTCACCCTTGATGTTTTTGATGCTAAAACCGTGATCCTTGATCCCAACCTTTTTTCAACCCGGACCCCTCAGTCTTGACATTCACCATGAAGTAAGGCGGTACCCCACGCCAAAGAAGAGAGGCACAATTGCAACCTCCAAACCCCAAACCCCACACCCAAAGCAAAAGGCCGATTGTTTTTGGACCCTGGCGTGTCCTTGAGCTGCGATTGCAGGACGCGGGTGCGAGCCTCCAGCTACGAGGTTAACTTGCAGTATGGGGCGGGGGACTCAGACAGGGGGGCCTTCGGGTTTCGGGTTTAGGGGTACGGAGTGGCGTTACAAGTGCCCGAAAGGGCCCCTGCTTGGGGTTCACCCCTAATTACGTACTACTCCACGGGGACTTAAGGGGTTTGGGTTTAGGGTTTAGGATTTAGGGTATGCGCAAACTCCCTGTCAATGAGTAGCGCTCTCCCTTCCCTCGCCTCCGCCTGAAAAGCAAGGACGAGAGTCTCCGGTCTTCAAGGCTTGGGACAGTAGGCTGATTGGAGGGCTGTCGACTGAACGTGCCCTCTGCCTCAAGCTTGTGCCTGTGAAAGGGAGTATTTGGAAGGGCTTTGGGGGGGGCAAGATGCATGGAACATGTTGCCAAGAAGTTAAGAAAGCGTCCTTGTCTGTTAAGCGCATCCGGCTTCACCTGAAGTGCGCAGCTCTGAGCTTCAAGCGTGGAGCTGCGGCTGACCGAGCATCTTAGGGTAGGTAAATGGTCCCCCAGTATGGGCCCTTAACCGGGGACCCCTTATATACCCTACACAACCCAAGGCCCCGTACATCAGAACCCTTTGAAGGAGGTAAGGCACCATATTCAGGGCCCATGTAACTACCTCAACGCTAAACCCTGAACCCTTTTTTTGCCTAAACCCTAAACCCTAGACCCCAACAGAAGGCGCGCAAGAAGGGTTCAGTCTCCCCAGGCCTGCGGGGCCAGCAGAGGGTTCGGCTGGGTTTCTGTGTCCTCTTTGAAATCTGGACTCGCTGACTTCCCCTCTTAAACCCCTAAAACCCTTAACCCTAAACCCTTTTGAATAAACCCTATCTCAACCCCCGAAACCCCCCCCCCCCCCAAAAAAAAACTGAGAGTTCTATCCAGGGAAGGCATGAGGCTGCAACCAACTCGTCCGTCAGCGACTGACGGAGCGACCTTGCAGCTCCCGTACGACTATTTGCTTAAGATTTATGGGGTGCAAGGGTTTAGGGTTTAGGGTTTAGGGTTGAAAGTAGTGTTATAAGGGTCCTGAATTGGGTTATAAGGATCCTAACTTAGGTTATAAGTCCAGTAGCTATAGTTAGGATGGTAAGGGGGGCCCCTCCTTGTAGGGTTGTTTATCGGTTCGGGTTGAACTGTAGGTCTTAAATGGGTTTATAATATAGGGCTTAGAGGGGTTCAACAGGATTTATAGGGCCTATAGGGCCTGTAGGATTTATGGGGCTTATGGGCTTTGTGGAGTTTATGGGGTTGAGGGTGAGAGGTTCATGGGCAGTTCTAGCTGGGGGTAGGGCAGACTCGCTACGTCCATATTTGGGTTTCTTGGCCCGACCTCCTACCCTAAGGGTCCATGTACCTGAATAGGGAACATGGGCCTCAAGGTAATTACTTGCTTTATAGGGACTTCGGGGCCCAAGTAGATAGTAACGAGGTACATGTAGGGTTACAACTGCTCCTGAACCCGTCCTGTAGGAAGATGGGCCCATCTAGCAAAACGTCCTGATGAGGCCCACCTTCCCTCCCCCCAGGGTTTAGGGTTTAGGGTTTAGGGTATGAGGCCCCCCAGGTGCAGTTTTGGGCAGCTGGCTGCAATTTCCATCATGGGCCGATGCATGCTGCAAAGGCCCTGTGAAACGGCACCTCCTTCCGAAGCGCTGCGCTCGCTCCAAGCGTCTCTAAACCCTAAACCCTAAACCCTAAACCCTAAACCCTGAACCCTAAACCCTAAACCCTAAACCCTAAACCCTAAACCTAAATCCTAAATTCTAACCCTAAACCCTAAACCCTAAACCAACCCTCCGCACTGGGCGTTGACAGAGCACATCCTCTCAAGGCTGAGTTTGTTTTTACAGCTTCGTGATCTCGAGGCGCTTGGAGTCGCTACTTGAGGTCTGACCTCTGTCCCTAAACCCTAAACCCTTTTAACCCAGGAACCCTAAACCCTAAACCCTAAACCCTAAACCCTAAACCCTAAACTGACCTCTGTCCGACCTCCAAAAGCTTCGCAGAGCTTGGCGGGTGAACTTCCAGGCTCAAAGGCTCGGCGTCCCAAGGCAGAACAGTGCAAGGCATGTTGAGTACAGAAACATCAAGGCTTCAAATGTGCCTCTAGTACTGTACCTAACTAAACCCTAAACCCTAAACCCCAAACTTTCGGCAAGAAGGTCGCGCACGAGTCCATGGCCCTGGCTCTAGAGCAGGATGGGCCCACGCTCGGGGCCCATAGGAAGCAGGGCAAGTGTATACGGGTTTAGGGTTGAGGTGTTTTTTTTAGGGTTTAGGGTTTAGGGTTTGGGGTTTGGGGTATGAGCGCTTTGCGGTTAAAAAGTTTAGGTTTCGGGTTTGAGTAGGGTGTCGGGTTTCGGGTTCTTGCTACCTTGTGGCCTCAAGCCTTGTACCTTCCAGTTTTGCGCTGCTTTGGTGCTTTCATGTCCTCACACTGCCCGCATGCGCTTGCCCCGACGCTCTGTAGGCGAGCAAAACTAGCAAAATGAAACGCTGCATTAAGGATTGCTGGGAGAGCGCAGCGCCTGGCATCTTGATGCCCACAATCTCTTGAAAGTCTCCTAGCAACCTGATGGGCCATAAACCCTAGGCCCTAAACCCTTCTTGAGCGCGGGCTCTTGGCGTGTGCCGGTCAACTATAATGGTAGTTGCATGGTCCCTTAGTATGGTCCCATCAAAGGGTACCCCTTATATACCCCTTATATACCCTATACAAATTAAGGGCCCATACATTAGACCCCTTTGAAGGGACGTTAGGGACCGTATTTAGGGCCCATAAAACTAACCTCAGATAAACCCGAAACCCTTTTTTGAACCTGGAAGCTGCTTCATGCCAGGACTGACCCCAAACCCTAAACTCCGGCCGGGAAGCCCTGGACCCTAAACCCTCAACTCTGCACAATCCCAATCGTTTGCAGGCACTGGGCTCCACCAAGGCCAAGTACCCGTAGAAACCCCAGTACCCGCGGAAACCCCAAGAAGCACGGCCAATTCTTGCAATTACGGCTCGCTTTTCGTAGCCTCGACATAAGGGGGTGAGTTCTCTAAATTAAGGTCCCTTTTAGGGTAGGCCCCTCTTGTTTAGGGTACCCGAAAAGGGACCCCGATTTAGAGAACTCACGGCGGTTTGGGGGTTCATGTCAACGATGGATGTTTCAATGACAAGCGCGGTGGGATGATGGGGCCCGTTGTCCGGGCCGGCAGTGTAATGTATGGACCTGTTTAGTCAAAATGTTCATGTTGCAACTAAAATGTTCATGTTGCAACACACACGCACACCCATATATATATATATATATATGTGTGTGTTTATTTATTTATTTGTTTATTTATTTATTCATTATGAAAATTACATATATATATATTATTATATTATATATACATACATATATATATATATTTATATTTGTATTTATATTTATTTATCTATTATACATATGTGCGTATGCATGCATACTTACCTTGCTTTCTATGCCAGAATGAACTTGCCCCTGCAAGCGAGAAACTGGGCCTGTGGGTGGAGCCTTTATGCCAAACCTGCGATCACACGCGCCGCTGGCGGAGCGCAAACTTTGCAGTGCCGGCACCTCATGACACAACGCCCAGCAGAGGAAGAAACAAAGGCATCCCCCGTGAATTTGTTATCCGTGGAGAATTCTCAAAGACTGTATGGGTAGGCATAAGAGATAGAAAGAGGCAGGTATAGATTAGATGTAGGTTTAGATCGTGGGAAGCTGCAGATAGCAACAGGGGATCCGCAGAACACTCAAAAGGCAAAACCTCCCAAGCCACCAAACTTTCAAAATGTCGACGCACGCCCCGAGCTAAGCTTCACCTATGTCCCTTAGCATGGGACCTTAAAAGGGGACCCCTAAACTAACCCTCAGCCCCATACAACCCAAGGGCCTGTACTTCAGAAGCTCGTTTGACTTAGGAAGTCTACTTAGTATCCCCTAGAATCCTTACTGTAATCCCCATAACCCACCTTACCAACCCTACTTATTACGTCAAAAAGAGCTTCCAAGAAAACCCTGAAGGGTTTACACGTCAAATCTCAAGCCCCTGAGCCCTTATCTCTCCAACAACTCAAGTCCTACTTGGAGGTCCAGGGGTACCTGTAACCCCAACTATCACAGTGCTCAAAAGCCGCCTTCGTCCCTAATACTAAGTAGGCTGTGAGTATACGTACCCTTAAACCTCCAGTGCCTACCACTATCTTGGGATATAAGTCACTTAACTATGGATAGTATAGTAGCCCTCCTTGCAGGGCCCTAAACCCTAAACCCTAAACCCTACGTAAGGGGGCTCTCCTTGCACTACCCTTAACCTTACAAAAACGACCCCTAAACCCTAAACCCTAAACCCTAAACCCTAAACCCTAAACCCTAAACCCTAAACCCTAAACCCTAAACCCTAAACGACCCCAAGGTGCGGCTCGAAGATTCCCAGCTCGGGGAGCGGTCGGCGGCACTCGGCTGGGGAGCAGGCGTTGCCTTGGCTTGGAACACATGACGTCGCAGGGCAGAAGAAGCTGCTAGGGTTTAGGGTTTAGGGTTTAGGGTTTAGGGTTTAGGGTTTAGGGTTTAGGGTTTAGGGTTTAGGGTTTAGGGTTTAGGGTTTAGGGTTTAGGGTTTAGGGTTTAGGGTTTAGGGCCTAGGGCCTAGGGCTTAGGGTTTAGGGTTTAGGGCATGACTTGGCAGGGTAAAGGAAGCTGTTGTTTACGTCTATGCTGGGTTCACAAGCCCCAAAAAAGTGCACACTCCCAGTTCCCCAGAAGTGTAAAGTGCACTCATGCAGCTGCGAAGTTTATAGGGTTTACGTGATGTTGTAGGTTGCAGAATGCGAGGATTTAAAGTTCAGGGTTGCGGGGTTCCCTCTTGCAATAAATCCCTGGAGGACTTGTGGGGTGGTCTATTGCAATACCGGCCCTGATAATTATTTCGGGAACCCTGAGAAGGAACCAACCCTAAACCCTAAACCCTAAACCCTAAACCCTGAACCCATAATGCAAAGAGCTGCACCTTTTTCTTCGAATGGTGTTCGGGTCTTCGGGTTGAGGGCGTCTAGAACTGGGATTCTTTGCGTTCGGGCCTTGGGGTTGAAGGTGTAGCCCTAAACCCTAAACCCTAAACCCTAAACCCTAAACCCTAAACCCTAAACCCTAAACCCTAAACCCTAACAGACTGAAGCATCACTCCCGAGGGCACAAGGCACAGATGCAGCGACCACATTTGCGGCAGTGGTGTTTGCGCAGCAGCAGCCAGAAATCCGCTTTGCACAACTGGCACTTCCTTGGAAGGCGTAGGGGTTTAGGGTTTAGGGTTTAGGGTTTAGGGTTTAGGGTTTAGGGTTTAGGGTTTAGGGTTTAGGGGTTTCCCTACTACCCCCCTCTTTTCTTCCCCCCCCCCACCCCAGGTCCGCCTATTGAATGACCTTGTAACTATTTTTAATTCTCCCTGACTAGCCTTAACTATAGGGGCAACCCAAGGGGTGGTGGTAGTCTAGACTAGAGGGGATAGTAGGAGAACCCATGACAAACTGCAAAAACGAGCTTCGAGAGGCTTTTTTGACTCCTGCAGCGTTGGTACCCAGACACAGCGGCAACTAACTCCTAACTCCTAAACCCTAAGCGCTAAGGTTGCTCGACAGGAAAATTCAACTCCCGAACCCTGTCTTGTGAAGATCAAAGGTAGGTGGTTGCGCCTGACTGCTATGCATTTGGCATCGCGTGGGGTGCTTAAGCAGCTCCAGACAGTAATCAGAGCCCGGGCGGACAAGGGCTTGGGGTTCCATAGTCCCGAATATTGGGGGGGGCTTTCCATCACTTCGGGTACCTATTTAAGGTTTCCTAGAATAGGGATAGAAGATGGCCCCATATTCTGGGAAATGAGCATACGCCCCTGTCCATGACCCCTTTCCTTCGTGTCCATGACAGCAGGTGTGCGACCAATTCCAAGTGAGAAGTGCCAGAGATGGCTCATGTGAGCCTCGCAACCAAACTTGAGCCCCTAAACCCTAAACCCTAAACCCTAAACCCTCAACCCCCAACCCCCAACCCCAAACCCACTAAGCCGCCCCAGGCTCTCCGAGTCCTTCCACAAGGGGGCGCCCTTCTCCGGCTCGCTGCGCTTGATGGGAGCAGGGGGGCGGACGGGGCGCAGCTCTTGGGGCAAGTCCCCAAGACCTGGGATTTTGGGGTAGGGGTTTAGGGTTTTTTTTTTAGGGTTTAGGGGGTTTAGGGTTCGGGGGTTTAGGGTTTTTTTGCCACCCGACTAGCCACAGCAATGCGGGGTACTGGGTCGGGACTGAAAAGGAAAAACGTCTTGGGGGTGTGGGGTTTGGGGTTTAGGTTAGGGGTTTGGGGTGTTTTTTGCCACCCACCTAGCTGACTGTACAGGCGCACTGTTGAGGGTTTAGGGTTCAGGGTTTAGGTGTGGAACTCATGTCTAAAACTTGGCTCCTTGTCTTCTCTGCCGGCGAAAGGCATGCGCTCCCAGAGTAACTTTCCCAAGTCCGGCGGGGGGGGGGGGGGGTATCTACGGCTTAAGGTTAAAGACCTTGGGAGACCCCACAAATCCACAACACAAACTTCTGAACCTTCTCAAGCCGTAAATCCTGAACCCTAAAGCCCCCTCCCTAACTCTCACTCTCTCACTTTCTCACTCTCTCTCTCTCTCTCACTCTCTGCCTCTCTGCCTCTCTGCCTCTCCGCCTCTCTGCCTCTCTGACTCTCTGACTCTCTGACTTTCTGACTCTCTGACTCTCTGACTCTCTGACTCTCTGACTCTCTGACTCTCGGACTCTCCAACTCTCGGACTCTCTCTCTCTCTCTCTCTCTCTCTCTCTCTCTCTCTCTTTGTAAATCTAAATCTAATCTAAATCTAAACGTTTACTAGTAGTTGCTTAAGAACCCCCAAAAATAAATACTATTATTCCTTATAAGGGCAATATAGGGATCCTCACTTTTTTGGAGGGGTTCTTAAGCAACTAGTAGTTACCACCGGGCCCTACTTACGACTACCCGAAACCCTAAACCCTAAACCCTAAACCCTACACCCTAAACCACAAGCTCTCCACCTCCGCGCCAGGCCACCTTCCGCCAGTGCCTGAAGCCTCCGTCTGTACAAATCTGCAGCCGGGGTGTGGTAGCGCGTCCTTGCATGGGTCTTGCACACATTCTAGGGCTCTGAAGGTTGGTGGGCGGGGGTATGTAACCCAAGGTTCCCGTTTACCTTCCCTTTTACACCCGGTTTAGGGTTTAGGGTTTAGGGTTTAGGGCTTAGGGTTTAGGGTTTAGGGCTTAGGGCCCCCCCACTACTCCCTGTGTCAGCTCAGGCACTCCATGGGAGTCGCGAGCCACACGTGACGTGGGACGCCCTGCGTCTCGTGCAGAAACGTGGAGAAAGCCTCCCGGCAATGGTGTCAAAGGGTTTCGGGTTTAGGGTGTAGGGTTTAGGGTTTCGGGTTTAGGGTCAAGAGGTGTCAGGACCAGGGTTGGGAGGGCCTTTCCCTGCATTAAGATAGAAAAGGCTGCAAAAGCCATCCTTCTGAAAGGCAATCGCCCAAAGGGTCCATGTACCTGTAGAGTACATACTTGGGCCTTACAGGGGTTCCTATGTAGTAGCTCTAGGGCCCAAGCACATACCATGTAGGTACATGGACCCTGAACCCTAAACCCTAAGCCCTAAGCCCTAACCCCTAAACCCTTAACCCTAAAACCTTCGATTCCTCTGTTCATTTGCAAGCACGTGGATGTGGCAGCGAATCGTCTAGACATGCTCCAGACTCTCCACGAAGCAATGGAATGGAACTCCCGGCCGAGCGACTTCCGACTGCATGCTGCAGCAATACAAGCACCAGAATCTCATGATCTCATCTCGATGGTTTTGACATTGAGATGATACCAAAGGCCGCAAGGTGAGGCTACCCATCGGTGCCTTCGGGCGAGTCATGGTCTAACTGTGCCAAAACCAAAGGCCATTGCCTCCAAAACCCGTCTTCCCACTTCGACTGAACCCTCATCTTACCCTACACGATTCACTCCAAGCCCTAGAATCTTCTGAACCTTAAGCCCTAACCCTAAACCCTAAACCCTTAGCATGATGACTGGGTTCTCTTCATGCTCAGCCCTCAGCCTGGCTGAGGGTTTAGGGTCCACAGGGCTTCGGGCTGAGGGGTTTAGTGCTTAGGGCTTAGGGCTTAGGGTTTAGGGCTTAGGGCTTAAGGCTTGGGGTTGAATTCGGGTTTGGGTGCGGGCCTCGTTTCCCCCTTGGAGGAGGAGCCGCCACTCCGACTCTTTCAGCGCATCCAAGTTCAACGACCGCACGTAGGACCTCGCTCTGTGTCGCATTTAGGCTGCTTTTAAACTGCTTTTTAAAGTTAAATATTAAAAGAACTTATTTAGGGTTGCTAGGGTTTTTTTAAACGTAAAAAAGCCCCTAAATGCGCAGGAGTCGTGCTGTGTCCTCTGCGCAGAGTTGCACTTGGATGGCACCTTAACGCCGAAAAAATGGTGCTAGGATCCTCTTCAAGAAGGGAAAACGTATAGCACCCAAAACCGCCTACATGAAAACCGCCGAAACGTTGGGATGGCGTCTACGGTCCAAGAGGCACGTTGCATGGCGATGGGTTTAGGGTGTTTAAGGTTTGGGGTGCAAAAATGCCAGATGAATTCCTTCTGCTTTTGTGTAACCCAAAACCTTCAACCCTAAACCCTAACCAGAAGGGCACCATGCTGTTTTCTTCGATTGTCAGACTTGGGGTCTTAAAGTTTTAGCAGATGTTCAACCAGGCTGCCTGGGCCTTTGTCACAAGTCTAAACCCCGCGGGCCCCCAGTACTTCCATTCTCTACTCTTTGCTTGAGAACCCCGCCGCCCCTGCCCCCCCCCTCCCCCCCCAAAAAAAATCAAGAACAAGAGTCCATATATTGCCCTTATAAGGAAGAATATTGTTTAGAGCTTCTTTGGGGGCTTCTTAAGCAAGTCGTAGTTTCGCGCCAAGGCACACATGCACGCCGAAGGACCGGTGCACTCCCGCGCAGTGGATGCCTGGATGGTCAACGGACATCGGGTTTTCAAGTTTGGGGCTTCGAGCGTCGGATGAAAACGGAGCCCCCAGCCCCATATTACATACATATACAACCATACATATTTTTAATGTATATATATATATATATTTCTATATATATATATATATATTTCATTTATTTATCTATTTATTTATATATGTATGTATATATGTATATGTCTATGTATCTATATATATATATATATATTGTAGAATATGAACAGATGTGTGTATATGTATATCTATCTATATCTTCTGTTTGTATGCCATACCCCGTTTTGCAAGGGCAGCAGCCTCACCCTTACGGTCCTGGACTCCCTTCCTCAGCCATATTAGACCCTCACCCGTCTCAGGTTTGCAAGGTTTTTACGCTCTTCAGGCGGGCCTGCATCCAAACCCCCCCCCCCCCCCCATGTTCGGCCACCCTGAACCCCCCCCCCCCCCCCCCAAAAAAAAAAAAAGGAACTAAACCCTGAACAAAAAAGTTAAGAAAACAACAAAAAAAACAACGCACAGGAGAGGTGCAGATGACCGTGGCGTGGCTCACGGAAACCCAGGGATCCAGAGCCTCTGCTGCAGCTTTGGCTGCAGGGCTTAGGGCTCAGGGTCCAGGGTTTAGGGGGTTAGGGTTTAGGGTTTAGGGGTTGGGGTTTAGGGTTTAGGGTTTAGGGTTTAGGGTTTAGGGTTTAGGGTTTAGGGTTTAGGGTTTAGGGTTTAGGGTTTAGGGTTTAGGGTTTATAGGGTTTAGGGTTTAGGGTTTAGGGTTTAGGGTTTAGGGTTTAGGGTTTAGGGTTTAGGGTTTAGGGTTTAGGGTTTAGGGTTTAGGGTTTAGGGTTTAGGGTTTAGGGTTTAGGGTTTAGGGTTTGGGATCCAGAGCCTCTGCAGGGCTTGTGGCGCTTTGCGGGGGTTTGTGTGCTTAAACTAAGTTAAAAGGGGCTCAGGGCTTCAGCCTTAGAGCTCAGAGTGCTTCCTCTTGGGCTTTTTTGGGGCTCATAGGGTTTAGGGTTTAGGGTTTGGGGTTTAGGGTTAAGGGTTTAGGGTTTAGGGTTTGGGGTTTGGGGTTTGGGGTTTAGGGTTCAGGCTTACAGGGCTTTCGGGCCAGCTGTCGACTTGGAGGTTCATGGTACGTAGTAACCCAGTTACTAGCTGTACTTATAACACGATTGCTACTTAAGGGGCTTAGAAGTAGGTCATAACTACACGTGTAATTGGGTAAAAAGTACCCTGAACCTCCAAGTCGTAGTGCAGAGACAACCGGACCCCACTCAAAGGGCAAGTAGTGCATCTCACCCGACTGAGCCCCTGGGTTTCGGGTTTAGGGCTTGTAACCCTAAACCCTAAAATCTAGGGGTTTAGGGCCCCAAACCTCCTCGTTTGCAAAAACTCGGAGTTGCGCAACACCATTACTGAAGCTGCAACGTCTGTCAGTGGGTCACGCAGCCTACGGAGGGAGGATCGGGTGCAGGGTTTCGGGTTTAGGGCCCGAAACCCTAAACCCTAAACCCTAAACCGTCTCAAAAGCAACGCTCCTGCTTTGTTCTTATCTACTATACTTGCTTAACCACCCCCCCCCCTCCCCAAAAAAAACAGGAAGGGCATAATGTTTTGCTTTTTTTTTTTTGGGGGGGGGGGGGGGGGGGAGGGGGGGGGGGGGGGAGGGGGGGGGGGGGGGAAGGGGGGGGGGGGGGGGGGAGGGGGGGGGGGAGGGGGGGGGGGAGGGAGGGGGGGGGGGGGTGGTGAAGCAAATTGTAGTTAATCATTCGAATCTGGCTTAAGAGAGGGCCAGCGGCGCAGTCCATCCCGCAATCAATGCACTGCCGGTTGCCCGGCAGCTCCCTTAGTCACATGGTCGGGAGGCCAGTGGGGCTGGGCGGATGGGTTCAAGACCTTGAAAGGGAATCCTTGCGGCAAGATACTAGGGTTTCGGGTTTAGGGCCTCTGGGCCAGCATGAAGGGTTTAGGGATGAATGCGGTACGGCAAAGCATCCACGAGCTTCCCATGACTGGGTTCCCCCAAGTAGCTACAATAGGAACCCTTAACCAAAAACAGTATTAAAGTAAAGTCCTCCCAAACCCAGAGAGATATTTCAGCACAGCTGCAGGATTCGCTGTGTCCAGGAAGCTGCCATCGGGTCCCCAACAAAGCTGGGCACTCTCCAGCAAAAAAAAAATGGGAGCTGTCGGGTCAAGGCACAGGCTGTCAGGGCTTTGGACTTAGGCAAAGGCAGATTTGGGAAACTTTCAGTAAGCAAGACCCTAAACCCTAAACCCTAAACCCTATACCTTAAACCAGATGAGCTGTCCTCAGTGGCTGCGAAGGGGAGTGCCGAACCATGACTGTCAGGGACATGTTCGGAAGGCCGGAGCGTCGAGCCAGTTCTGCTTCCCAGGTATCTGAGGTATCAGAATAAAAGGGAAGTACTCTGTAGGCATTCGCGGCATTCCTGTAGAAGCAACTATGCTTGCATGAATGGGAAATATGATGTCAGAATACATCATGCAGCGGCTGAACAAACTGCCATCTAGGGTAGTTTTCATGGTCCCTACCTCAAGGGACCATGTAACTACTTTGAGACCTGAAGAGCAAGCAGTTGGGGCTGACCATAGGGGACCCAGCCTCCCCCTCCACCGCCCCTCGCCCTCCCTGCAACTTTCCACCTGTTCTTGCACGGGCCCCGGGTCGCGTAGCGTTGAACATGTCGCCCTAAACCCTAAACCCTAAACCGCAAACCCTAAACCCTTTTGCAACCCTAAATAAACCCTAAACCCTAAACCCTAAACCCTAAGCCCTAAGCCCTAAGCCCTAAGCCCTAAGCCCTAAACCCTAAGCCCTAAGCCCTAAACCCTAAACCCTAAACCCTAAACCCTAAACCCGAATTGAATGCGTGGCTGGCCAGCCCTGGGAGCAGAGCTGCTGCAGCGCCTCGGCCTGATTCAGAGCCCCAAAGAAGAGACCCAAGAGAATAACAAGGGTGGGTTTAGGGTTTAGGGTTTAGGGTTTAGGGTTTAGGGTTTAGGGTTTAGGGTTTAGGGTTTAGGGTTTAGGGTTTAGGGTTTAGGGTTTAGGGTGACCCAAGAGTGACCTAGGAATAAAGAAGGGCTTAGGGTTTAGGGTAGCAAGGGCTTAGGGTCAGAAGGTGTTTCATCGCTCACACTCGGACACAAAGGGTTTAGGGTATTTAGGGTTTAGGGTTTAGGGTTCAGGGCGACCCAGGAGCCTAGGAACATAAAGGGTGCCCTTTTTGGATTGAAGGGCCGTACAAGGGAACCTACCCCCCAAGAAAGAGGGAACCTAAACCCTTTAAAAGGGGTTCGGGTTTAGGGTTTCGGGTTTAGGGTTCAGGGTTCAGGGTTTAGGGTTTAGGGTTTAGGGTTTAGGGTGGGGTTTAGGGTTTGGGGTTTGGGGTTTGGGGTTTGGGGTTTAGGGTACTCGGGGTCGTAGAGGCGAGGATCTCGGGCTCAGAGGCTGTCTGGCTTTACCGACTGCAGCAGACCTTAGCCCTCGAACACCTCGATGTACCCTTAAAGCCTAAACCCTAAACCCCAAACCCTAAACCCTAAACCCTAAACCCCAAACCCTAAACCCGAAACCCAAAACCCGAAGCCCAACAGGGGCTCTCGTTCCAGCACCCTGTCCTCATCAAAGCGGCGGCGAACGGAGGTCAGCACGTCACTGGCGTGGCTCTCTTTTGAGGCCTTCCCAGGTTCCCGCTCATGGCACTTAAGCCTAAAGGCGGGAACCTCTAAGGTTTAGGGTTTAGGGTTTAGGGTTTAGGGTTTAGGGTTTAGGGTGTACAACCACACGAGGATATACCAGCATAACAATTATGCTCGTGCGAAAAGGTAGTAGCATATGCAAATGAGACAGTATAAACACCACACAATAGAAACATAGTGATGCTATGTTTAACTACTATGAACCACAACAAACAAGCATATGTGAACATAATCGTATATTAGTAGAGGAATATACGAACATGATAATAGGATAGCACAGGAAAATAACAGAAAACAATGGAACAGGAGAGGAGTATACAAAAACAAGTTCTGATTTAAGAATATACCCGTTCTTGCATTCGTAAATTACTGTATTGTATTTCAATAAAAGGTATAGCAATATATAAAATGATAAAACAGTAGTCGGACAATGAAATGCTCAAAACATGCAATGGTATAGTAGAACATTACATTAAAAGACGAATATCGGGGAAGAATAGTGATATATTCATTTGCCAAATACAAGATGACATGGCCACATAAATGCCAACATGACAGTGTGCCATCGTAACGAGGTAACAACAGGCTGCCAGTAACAATATGCTATCAAATATTAGCAAAAAAGGGTATAGTAAAATCGCAGAACAAAGGAATAGCAGAATGGTAGAAGAATGACATTTCAGAATACTGGAATCATGGAATCACAGAATAGTGCAATGCTGGACTATGATAATAGCAAACACTTGAAACGAGTCCACATGAACATAAAAACGAGCCAAAGCCGTCCCAATCTGCAGGGCTTGTTTGCTTCAGTTTCGGGCATTTGGGCATTTGCCAGAGGTGTGTTTGAGGTCTTGCTTCCCCCAAACCTTCTGGGTTTAGGGTTCAGGGTTTAGGGTTTAGGGTTTAGGCACAATGCGGCATCGGAGGCAGATCAACACGAGACATTTCGGGCCGTGTAGCCGGCCTTGCGCGGCCTTAAGTCCTGCGGGGAGGCGCAGGCTCCAGACACTCTCTCTCTCTCTCTCTCGGTTTAGGGTTTAGGGTTTAGGGTTTAGGGTTTAGGGTTCTCTCTGCCATCAGAAGTCTTCGCTACGCAAGGGCGCAAAAACAGGCTATCATAGCTTCCCCTACCACCCCCACCCCCCCCATAACTAAGGCGAATTAGAGATAACTAAGCCTAGTTCAGGTTATTTAGGGGGGAACCTAAAGGGGGGTAGTGGGGCAACCCATTTGGCTAGGACATCAGGAGGCATGGCGTGACCTCACAATAAGGCTCCAGACCACAGGTTCAGGGTTTAGGGTTTAGGGTTTTACCGGGTATCGTTTTCGTTTCCACATCTTAGGGGAGCGGAAATGCAAACCTATACACCCTAAACCCTCAACCCTTTCGCCCTAAAGCCTAAACCCTGTTTTTCCCTGCAGGAAACCCTTTTTTGTAACTGGCTTGGGACTAGCCGGATCCAAACACCCCAATCGTCTCGAAACCCTGAACCACAAACCCATGTAGACCCTCGACAGCCCACGGTGAAACACGCTGAGAGCGCACAAGTCCTTGTCTCTGGGGCCACTTGCTTTGACGTCCTTTGGCTTCGCCTTCCAATGCTCGCGCGGAGGTCAGTTTAGGGTTGGAGGTTGAGGCTTTCGGGCTTGACCCGAAACCCTAAACCCTAAAACCTAAACCCTAAACCCTAAACCCTGAAGACATTTTTGCAGCGGGCTTGTACTGTTGCACGCCCGGACTGAGGCCCCTAACCTAAATTACTAACTGAGGGCTTGGTAGAGCTTTTGGCAGACCTAACGCTAGAATAGGACCCTACAGGCTTTGGTGATATCCTAAACCTCAGAACCCTCAAGCCCTACAGCACCAAAGCCTGAAACCCCTACTTTCAAAGGGCAACGAGAGTTCCGAAACCCGAAGGCCTGCAGGTCACTTCTGTAAGTTCTGGTCCCTTTTGGGGTCCTTGTTAGAAGGCGGCCCCCTCTTACAAAGGGCACCTCCCAGAAGGGACCACATTTTAGAGAAGTGAGCATGAACCTTCCAGCAGGGAAACCCGCGGCCCCGCAGAGGTATTCGTTCTTTGGCATGGGGCAAAAAGGGCCCTGTGACTGAGATTCGCCTAAACCCCTAAACCCCTAAACCCCTAAACCCCTAAACCCCTAAACCCCTAAACCCCTAAACCCCTAAACCCCTAAACCCCCAAAAGTTAAGTACAACAAAGGTACTTAAGACAAGGAAAGACGCACAACGGGCACGCCTATTTTCCTTGAGCCAAAATACAATCAGTCATCCGAATCTGCTCTCCTAACCCTACTTGGTATGTACAGCTAAACGGTGGTTTGGGGCCAGTTTAGTTAACTCCCCCCTTTAGGAGACAGAACGGTGAGACTGGACTAGCAGATTGAGGGCAGGTTGAAACCTGCGCTCAGTAGTGTTGCGCGGTCTGAAGGACTCAAGCGCTCGGCATTTCTGATCAGGAATGCTATGGCAACGATTCGTTCTGAAGCCTCACATCCTGTCAGGACTGTGCAGTGGCGTGCTCTGGGATTGAAGAGTGCAGGGTTACACAACATGTGACCCCATAGGCTGTCGTCGTTTGGACATTGGACAGTCCCTTCCTCATCTTCTACCCACAATATGGGTCCACTTGTTGGATTCAACGCTACAAGGAGGTTCTTTGAGCCTTCTGCATTGTTGGAGTCTCGGTGGAGCCCCGCGACTACACCTTGCTGCACGATTATGCTTGAGAACTTGTGTGATGGCATATAACGTCGAAAGAATCGACATATCAACGCCGTTGCATATTGAAATTTGTGTGTGTTTGTCTGCAGGCCAAACACTCCTCCTAAGACAAATGCGCCCGCAGAAAATACATGCGAGTCGTGCCCCGGTGCCCCCCTCTTATCAGGACCATGAGGTAACAGCGTCAGTAGCTGCACCAGATGCTGACAAGTCGGGACCTTTGGGCAACTGCCTGCGAAGACTTCTGCGGCAAGATTTGCCTCTGCAAGTGCGGCGACGGCAATTTCCAGGTGGGGTCCATCGCTGGATGCTGTCAAGCCAAACTGTGCGAGAGTATGTGGCCATTCTGCAGGTGGAATGACTTTTGTTAGGCCATTAGCTATCTGAGATTCGCTCTTGCAGTACACGGCAGTGACTTGTGGCGACTCTAGCTGTTCAGACATTGATGCAATGTTGACCCTGTGGACTCGATTGCAGTGTCTCAGCTTCGCCGAATAGCCTGTAGCCAGGACTTTGAGCAAGGTCTCGTTGTCTTGATGGAATACGACGTCGATAGCACGACCGAGGAGATGCTCCATCATGACCTGAATGTTCAAGGCCTCACCAAACATGGCGGAAGCCATTGCTATGGCCTCAGCCTCGGGAGTGCTTCTTGCAACACTCGTCTGTTTCTTAGATGCCCACCACAGTGGAAAGCGGAAATCTGTTGACCCTATAGTCATGTAGATCCCGCTCGTCGATTTTGCACTATGCGGACAAGAGGCGAAATCACTGTCAGTGAAGATGTGGATCTGGGGAGCTTCGTGATGGTTCACAGTAGCAGCTAAACATAAGCCTGTTGTACCGTGAAGATACGAAATCAGGCGAAGTAACTGCTTGTCTTCCCATTTAGTCCACGCGGCCACTCGTGACGCTAACCGACCGATTATGAAACACAGATCAGGGCGAGCCAACCGACCCAGCCAAAGTGCTTTCATAAGTACCTTTGCAGCTACATGGCTCAGTGTGCCGGGTTGCTGCAGGTCCTCATCTGACATTAACGCCTCGGACAAACTTGGGGTTGTGACGTTACGGAGCTTTGCCTTTGGGACATCAGCAAGCTCGCAGTACGCCTCGACGACCTGCTCTGCGAAAGCAGACATATCAAGCACAAGAGTTGTGAAGTCACTGCCTCGTTGGATTCGGTGACCTCTGCCAAGGATCCGTGCATTCGAGGCTTCGATGTAACATTCGTCTTCCAGCTTGATATGCGCTCTCAGCCTTTTCCAAAACTGTGCATGAAGATGCTTTGCTCCCGACAACGTTAGGTCATCTACATACACGTTAAGTAGCAGGGTATGGGAACCCATTTGAAAGATGAAGTTTGAAGGAAACAAATCCATCTCAATGCCACCAAAGGAAGTGAGAACAGAGGCTAGGTGTTTCTGCCATAGTTTGCCAGCAAGCGGATGGCCATATAAGCTTCGCTTCAACCTTACCACCAACTTCGACCCTGATGGGTACGCTTTGTGCCATGTGTCCAACCACAGCTCCTCGGGGAGGATAACCCATGTGTCGGGCTCTCCTGCCTCAGCGAGGTCAGCTTGAAGAAATGCCTGAATGGCATCTGCAAGGCTCACTGCGTTTCCATCTTGGCAGCCGAAAAACAATGCGATGTTAAGGGCAACCAAGGAAGTTGGTGTGGTAGCCACGTCTTCAAAAAGAACATGGTTTCCGAACTGGTCAAAAATGCAGTCCCCCCTGTACACGATTCTCCCTTTGAACTTGTGTTCATGCTCAGGGAGTTCGAAATGTTTTATCCCACATAATGTGAGAAGCTCTGCAATTTTGAGTTTACGGTTTTGCCGTTTTGCATCGGCACGCAAGGAAGACAAAAGACAGACTGTCAAATCATCCCACGTTCCGTTAGAACGTAACCCTTCTGCCTCCTTCTTCACGGCTGCAACTCCGCGCGGGTCTGCTTTCCATTCCCGCTTTGTTAAGTTCTTCGTGACCATGGAGGGGATGTGGCGATGGTAGCGTTGCGGATACCACGCTTCGACGATGTTGTGAGCGAGCTCTCGTGGGTATGCTTCAGTCTGCTTTGTTTGTGAGCCTTCGGCGGCCTCGTGCTGGTGGCTACCGTCACATTGCAGTTGTCCAAGAAATTGAACAAGTCGCAGATCATTAGTGGCTACGCTCCAGGGCTTGCGGATTGGATGCTCTCGGCCCTTCACTCCAGCCATGCAGCCATCAAAAGACACTTTGTGTAGACCATGTTCATCCTGAAATTCTTTCCATTCAGGGAGATCCCACCAGCCGGACCCTTTGGGCCACTCGACTGCGATCCTTCCATGATTTGCGATGGCAGTTGCGAGTACCTTGCGGGCATACAAGAACATAAGCTTGCTCTTCTCTTGGCGATTCCGAAGACCCTTTCCGTACTTCGCCCCATGCCTATGGACGTTCATGTTCTGCCACGGACTGAACTCGGTGCACGGCAATGAGAGCCACACATCACAACCTGGCGATGCTTCGACCTGACCTTGAACTTGTTTGACATGTTCTTCGTTGGACAAATCAATCATGCTTCGGCATAAGCGGATACTGTTGATGCCAATTTCGGACGCAGCTTGCGAAAGCTCTGAACTGTCGCCACACGCATATTCGAACAACACATCCTTGCCTATGAGCGTTTGCACCTTTCTTTGGCGGACTCTTTCCCTGTTGGCATCGACAAAGACTTGCGTCACACCGAGCTCGACCTTCGCAACAAGACCTTCTACAGCGGGCTCACTCGAAGGGTGGAGACCAACGCCTTCGGGGAGCTCAGCTGGAGGAACTGGCTCAGGGGGCTTGGACGTCAACGCAATCCTATCAGCCTTTATCAGGGCATCGAATCTTGCTCGGCATTTAGGACTATGCTTCACGGAATCGAAAGTGCACGCTTTGCATCCTGGTGTGGCACCGAACTTAAGAATGCGTTCAAGCGTAATGTACTCTGCGCGCCTTCGAGGAGGATCAGCAGGGGACAGTGAGCTGAATGGTATGTCCAGCGCTGTGATAGCCTCAAGTTTGGGATCCTGGAACTCGCGAAGAGCAAGATCCGCCGCGGCCTTTAGCGGGAAGGTCTCAGTCTCTGGGACACGCACTTCCGCATATGGCACGGGGATCATGTCCCTATACCCAATCGACTTGGACTTGACGGCTTCATAGTCTAGCACCCAGATCACGTCACGATACACAAATCCGTGCTCAAACCTCCAACCTGCAAATAGTCCGGGAGCAGTTGTAGCTTCGAACTTATGCCTGCGGCTGGGGTCATGGATCCTGTAATGCACCAACTGTCCCAAGGGAAGCCTTGGGCCTTCGAATGGGGAACCAGTTGCAACCTCGAAACGCGACTTGTCTTTGCCCTGCCACGGTACAACTGTCAAAGTCTGCGCGGCAAACTGCACGGACACATGCCACAGATCTGGAACCACATGGAACCCAGCAGCCAAATGCACCGCGCGAGTCGATTCCTCGAGAGTTCTTATCTCTCTCTCAAGTTGGGCGTTGTGTGGAAATCTGTTTTCTAGGGTCGCTTCATGCACCCATCCTATTTGTGAGACGGCAGCTATTAACTCCTTTGCATCATCAGCCTTACACAACACGTTCGGGAGGTGCTTGTATCGGGCGCCTACAAAGGTAAGGAGGTTCTGAGCTGCTCTCTCAGCTGTGCGCGCACAGACAAAAGCTCGCAGTGCACCACTATATTCATCCCTGATGACATGGACTGCATGCTCACGCTTCGAAGGGATTATATAGTCTGTTGCAATCCTCTCGCCAAACTGTTCAACAGGAGGCAAGTCACCTCTGTCTTCGAGAGGCTCTGCACGCTTCTTGGTGACTCTTTGTCGATACATGCGGCTTCGCTGACATATCTCACAGTAGGGATTCTTAGGGATATGCGTCAACTTGTGTGCCATTGAAGAGGCCTCCTTGATGAGTTGCTTCTGACGTTCTGATGTTACGTCCTCTCCTGAGTCCGACCCAGAACCTGGCGGAATGGCAGGTGGAGGAAGTGGAGGTGGCGGGACCTCGGGTTCTACTGGAGCAGGAGGTTCCGGAGCCTTCGCTGCTTCAGCAGGTTTAGGAGCTTTTGCACCTTTGACCTTGTCCTTTGGACTTGGTTTAGCCTTTGGCTTTCTTGCTGAAGAGGACTTTGCCCTAGACTTCAGCTCGTCATCAGAGTCAGGTGGAGGATCTCTAGACCCGGAGGCGGTCTTTGACGGCACCCCTGGATCCTGCAACAACTCAAGCAAGGTAGACTCCTCCGTGATATGCGGCGAGGGTCGATACGTGGTGTGCCGTGAAGGCTCTATGGTAGTGCGTGCAAGAGGCTTTGCCTTTCTAGCATCGCTCATGAAGCCAGGCATCGCAACAGTGGAAGGCGAGACGAATCTGACCTGTTCCCTGAAGATTGGAACATTTCCCTCAACTCTATCGGCACATATGGCGGATTCTTCAATGACCTGAACGTGTTCGACACTCGACAGGAACATCGGAAGCTTTCCTGGCAACCATACAAACGGCATAGACTTTGTCTCTACCAACTCACCAAGTGATTTTACACTAGGGCAGTTGTCCAGGAGATATGCAGAATTGTTTCCTAGAATGGAACCCTCGAAGCCAAGCATGAGCCCTGAATCAACGACACCATTCCCTGTGGAAAAGGATACTGTGGGTGCCTGTTCGGCCATGTGTGCGTATGCGTCTTCAGGAATGCCTTGTTCATTGAGGGCTTCACGACTCTCTAGGGATCTACCTGCACCACTATCAGCGATCCACTCGTGGTAGAACCATCCCTGTTGCGGGTGCTGATGCTGAGATGCTACAAGCAACGGAGTGACAGTGGCGGGACAGGCAGGAGCGCAGATGTTGCTGAACACAGTAAACCACCCCGAAACGAACTGGAAGAACCTACTCAATCCTGAACGCTTCCAAAAGGTTGTCTTGCTCGGTGTGGAGGAACCATCGACCGAGGCACCCCGCGCCGTAGTGGGAAGCAGCAGGGCGACAGCTGCGGCAGAGCTCTTTGCCGTAGCGCTAGCTCCAGTAGTCTTTGACCCTGGGGCCTTGTTACCGGGAGAGGTCTCATGCGAAAACGGACAATTCTCACCCCGGTTACACGTTCCCTTTGGGAAGAACAGGCATGGTACGGTAGCTTTGGGGGCATTTCCTTTGCTTGGGGCTTTGCCTTCAGCTTTGGAGCCCTGGCCTTTACCGCCTGATTTCGCCTTTGGCTTGTTTGGTGTTTTCTGTGAATCTGCACCCTTACCACTCCCTTTACCCCCCTTTCCCTTGCCATCCTTGTCTTTCCCATCCTTCCCAGAACCTTTGGTCTTGGCCGGAGGGGCTGGATTGGCAGGAGTGGGCTTGTCCGGCTTATCGCGGGAACGCTCCTCTTTCTTTGGGGCGGGAGCAGCTTTGGCTTTGGGCTTGATGAGAGTGTCACGAATTGACTCTTCGTTTGCTTCTTCTCTCAGCTCATCTAGCAATTCGACAAGCTGCGACCACAACCACGCAAAGGTTCGCTTGTTGCTACCTGGATTGGAGTCTTTGATCTTGTCGACTGCTCTGGAAAGAAGCCTGCAGTGCTTGAGCTTGGAGTATAACCAGCTAAACAAGGTAGACTCAGCGGGCCATGCTTCGGGACTGAAACCGTTCAAACAAAACTCAACCTTTTCTCTAAAGGCTTGCAGTTGTTGTTGGCTGAAGCCTTCGAGCTGGATGGCTAAGAGTGTCTGCTGGGAGACTGTCGCCCCCCTGATCCGGTCTACCCGAAACCTTCGGCTGAGCATTGCCAACAGCGCACGCCCGGAAGGCTGCACGCCTAACGCATGTGCTCGCTCGGTGAACGCCTGGGCAGCGACTCCGTAGTCTCCCTTGAGGTGTTTTGGATCTGTAAGCTGTGCAGCCAGGAATGCATCAAGGCGGGGAAGGCCGTCAGACGTGACCTGCAGATTGCGCATCTGTCGGTCTCCTATGGCTGGATCAAGGGCGACCTGGAGCCATCTCAGTATCCTGGCGTTCCCACTCTTGTCTATGCTGCTGAACGATGTCAAAACGCCGTTCCTCCATGCTCGATATCCCGCGGCTGTCGAAGGAAGTGCAGGGATTTTCAGGTCTCGAAGATCTTTGTTGTGGTAAGTATCCTGCTCATAGTCTACTTCTTCTTCCCCCGGTGCATCGGTGACATCAATGATGGGGTCATCTTCCCTCTCCTCTTCCTCCTCACCTTCCTCGTGTTCGGACCCGATGTCGTAGTGCATCGGAGGGTCTGGGGGATGCACGACTGAAGGAGGTTTGGGAGTGGAGAAGACGTTGAAGGGATTGTCACTCGAAGAACCCTTCTTGGATCTAGACGGAGCCGGCAAACCAACACCGGTGAAAACTGGCAACCTGGGTGCGCAGAAGCATCCAAACCGATTTGGAACAGGCGCAGCAGCCACACCAGCAGATCTTTGACCTTGAGCCGCTGAGACCTTTGGACTCTTATGCTTAGGGGAGGGTGTCCCGTTTCGGAGCCCCGAACCTTTCGCTTTGCTTTTAGGCTTGGATGCTTTGGGACTGACGATTTCTCGCAACTCCTTCATTGTCTCACCAACACTTGCAGCCAAGGCCTTGAGGGCTTCACTGATCTCCGTGCCATTTTGGTCCTGAGCCCTTGAGGCCTGCGACACTCGCTCTGCGTGAAGGTGGGACGTGTCGGCTTGGGACTGTTGTTGAGCTTTGATGCTTTGCATCTCAGCTTGGATCATCGCAATCCGCTTCATCATTTCTTCCTGCTGCTCCTCAAGCTCACGATTCCTAGCCTGAAGTGAGGCAATGGTTTCGTTTGCTTGTGCAAGATGCTGACCGGCTTGTTCTGAAACACTCTGGACCTGTCTCTCAGCTTCAGCCCTAACGCGCTCTGCATACTCTTGTGCGTGCTGCATGGCTTCATGTTGAGCAGAAGTGACAGCGCCCTGAACATATGCCTGAGCCTCACTCTTTGCAACCTGCACGTATGCCTGAGCTTCATGCTGAACGTTCTGGGCAAACACCTGAGCGTCCTGTTGAATGTTTTGTGCTTGCGCTTGTGCCAGCTGTGCAGCAGCAACGGCCTGAGAATGTGTTCGGGAATCAACCCCATGAAGATGCAATTCCTGACGACTCTGATGCAGGTGCAACTCTGGGGCAATGCGCTGAACATGCTGATGCAAGTGCACATCCGGGGTGGTTGTCCCATCGCCCGGTGCAAGCGAAACAGGTTGACTTGCTGGTGCAGGACTTGCAACTTCACATGCATAAGCTGGCGGAGGCAACAAAGCTTGCATCCTAGAGGAGGAAGAGCGATTTCGGGAACTAGCTAAGGCATAGGGTTGAGAGGACCTTCCCCTTCCGGTTGAAACGGCTCTTACGGGAGTGGAATCACTACTGCTCTCTCCTACCCTTGCTTCTTGTGCCCTTACAGCACTGAGTGCCCGCGCCTGTTGTGTAGGCGGCGTGCTGGAAGTGGACACCTGGAGCGAGGAATCAGTAGTTTCGGGACTCATCGCCATGGTGCCAGGCAATAGAAACCCCAGGTTCCCCTGAAGGTCAGCAGCTCTCTTTTAGCGTTTTACAGGGACCGCAGCCACAACAACACAGTGGGCACGAGATCAGTCAGCCACGTATTCGGCGATACCAAAATACCGTGAACACCATACGCCTCGACGTCCCGCACGATGTCTGATCTGTCATCCAAATGACACGCAAAGTGATCCGACCGCCGGTCCATCAAACGCTTAATGAAGGCTCCTTTTCCAGGACGGCCCGTTGGAGAGCTAGTGATGTAGACTGGCACGCCCGGAAGCTCCGAAGCCATCGACTGACGCGTTTCTTTGGCCCGTTCTGTCCCAGAGTAACTCGTGCAAATAAACTTCAGCTTCACGTGGCTCGGACGCTCTGCGTTCAAACGGTCCAAAAAATCTCGGCTGTCCTGAAAGTGGATGTTGAGCACCCCGCTGAAATCCAATGAAATCAGGACAGGGATGTCCTCACGCACTTCGACCACTTCCAAAGGTGCAACACGCGGCGCGGCAGAAGAAGAAGATGAGAGCGCCTGATTATGCTCTCTCCACTCTTCAGTAGTCCACCGGTTTATGGCTTCTCTATCTGAGTGTTGTCCCAATTCAACCTGTACCCTGAACGAATCCGCTATGGTTGGATACTCTCTTTCGTCCAACTCCCAGTCCTGCGGTGGTCTGGACTCGGGTCGGGCCTTTGCTTTGGGACGATACACAAGAAGATCTGCTGCAGCCTCCGGTGCACGTGACGGACCTGGTGTTCCGGGCAAGGTACTTGCCTTGGGAGGAACCGGGGTTCTATTACCCTTATGTTTAGGTCGTGCCCTAGGAGGTGCAGGGGTTCGATCACCCTTATGTTTCGGTCGCGGTCTAGGAGGTACCGGAGTTTGGTCAGAACCCTCAACCAAGGAACGAGGCGGAGATCTGGAACGCACTGCGACAGGAGGAGTCCTCGGAGCCGGTATCTCAGGCTCCGGCGAAGGTGCCTGAAGCACTCCTCTGACCTCTTCCAGGGTATCCTCGACGAACGTAGCGTAAGGATGATATGGCAATGCCTCCGTGCCCTCGAGCTCTCTTTCTCGAGTTCGGACCAGCCGTATGGCCCCAGACTGCTGCTGAGTACCGATGAGAAGCTGCACCAGCGCACGGATGACCACCAAGAGGACAGCTTTCCTCCGACGGAACTCAGACGAGCCTTTGACCGCAGGCGAGTTCGTGGCCCTGGAAAAAGCAGCAGTCACACGCTCCACAAAGGACTCTTCAGAGGTCACGCGTTCCCACGCCTGAAAAAAATCGTTCCAACCCATGGTACCAGAGACAATTGCACAGCCTGATTCGGGCGGCGACCCCTCTTTGCCTAATTCGGGCGGCGACCCCAACAAGCCTAGAAAGTGGCCAGAAGAATGTGTGCAGAGTGCCTGAGCTTGACTACCTTGCCGGGATTCCTCAGATGGGATATTGGGGCAATGCAGGTCTTTCAACTAACGACACGCACTCAACCGGCTGTCTGAGCCAATGCACAGGGATGAGAGTGGGGAAGACCCGCGACTCTCTTTGCTTTGACCCTGAAACCTCTTAGGGATTGGGACTTTGTCCGATGTTGCGTTCACAGTGCGTGGTCAAGCCGACGGCACTGTGGGTTTGCTGTTGGCGGAGTGATGGGCTTAGTCTCAACCCGAAGGGAGACCACAAACCACGCGAAGATCGAAGTCTGAACTGAACCTGCTGTTTGGGCAGCTCGAGGCGAAGCACACGGTGATGCAGTGATGCTTCGTCAGACGCCTAGGGTACCCACAAGGCCTAGCCTCCCTAAACCGTGCACGGGTTCACAGGAGAGGGTACAAAGGCAAGATGTTCAGGAATGTTTGAAGTGAAGTCCGAAAGTCAGAACCAACCAGGGCAAGAGAGGCGAGCACCTCGACACCGCAGCGGAGATGCGCAGCCACACGATGTACCTGGATGTCACGGAAAGTATTGAGGCAATCTAGGGACCCACCTATCGTCGGCGTACGTTAAAGCACGGACAAGGACCCTAAGCTGCCAGTCAAACGATACCTCTCTGTAGTGATTAGCAAGAAGATTACTCACGAACCTTCTCCACCAATTTAGCGGATGAGCAATCAACAAACGCGTGATGCGTTTCTCACGCAAGGCCTTAATGAAATGAACCCAAATGTGGAGGTGTGTTGCGTAATGCTCTTCCGGCTCAGTGCTTTGCATGCACGATCGAAGATTTCGAGATATGGAATGCCACGTGGAAAGCCCAACGGTGGCTTGCAGGTGAAGTGAATGCAATTGCTGAGCCTGGCTCTGGCTCGACACAATGCTGGATGTGAAGTATGAATGAGGCAGGGCCAGCGGCTCCTGTCGCGCAATTTCAAGCACACTCTCAAGGCAGGTGTGCGGTTATGGAGGGGGCACTATGGCGGCGCGCGGCTTTGCCTACGTTCCTACCAAAGTGACCACGTAGCTTGAGGCTGTTAACCAGTTAAGTACAACAAAGGTACTTAAGACAAGGAAAGACGCACAACGGGCACGCCTATTTTCCTTGAGCCAAAATACAATCAGTCATCCGAATCTGCTCTCCTAACCCTACTTGGTATGTACAGCTAAACGGTGGTTTGGGGCCAGTTTAGTTAACTCCAAACTCTAAACCCTAAACCCCAAACACTAAACCCTCCCGTCCGCGGCGCATGAGGCCCTTGTTCAGGGGCTTAGGGTTTAGGGTTAGGGTTTCCCTAAACCCTAAACCAAACCCTAAAACCCTAAACCCTACTCCCTAAACCCTAAACCCTAAACCCCTACAGGGTTGAGACTTCAAAGTTAAGGGTTGAGGACCCCCAACAACAAGCCACAAACAACAAGCTGAACTCGTACGGTTACAAGATCACTTGAACCCTGACTTACGCCTCCTGATCACAGAGCCGCGTCCACAATCATCCACAAAACCCGACCCCCAAACCTTGCAAAAACTAAAGACGGCCAACCCATTTGCACGGCCCTAAACCCTTTGCCCTAAACCCAGGACCTTAAGACCCTAAACTTTAGCGCTAAACCCTAAACCCCAAACAATATAAACCCCTCAACAAGATCGGCCTGTAGCTGCTGGACCAGAAGCTTGTTCCGTTCCTTGGGGCTGGCACCCTAAGGTGGGGGAGGGGAGGGGGGACGGGGGGGGGAGGGGGGGGGGTGGGAGGGGGGACGGGAGGGGGGGATGGAAGAGGAAAATATTTAGCAACCATGAGCCCTGGACTAGGGTCTGTTGGAATATATTAACCCTTATATACACCATGTAGAACCCATGCTCCAGATCCCAATAAACAAGGGTAAGGGACCATACTTTGGGCCCTAAACCCTATACCCTAAACCTCAAGGGAGGCTTGTCTTGCTTTAGGCTTACGGATTGCTTCACCTGTTGAGTTTGCGCCTGTGAGCCGCTTGTGGTTCTTGGTTTGAGGGACGTGCGGCATGCTCTTGGTGCTTTGGGGGGTTTAGGGTTCAGGGTTTGTAGAGGTTCTGTCGTGCCCCTTCTCTCCCAGACTCATGAATCGGAGGAGGCATAATGAGTTTTGAGCGTCAGTGCGTCTCTGAGGGTGTCCAACACGCAGGGGTATGGATTTGGGGGATTCCGAAATTAGGGATACCTTATTCGGGTCCTTATGAAAAGAAAAAATCCTACTGTTGTTGGGGTCGATTGTAGGGTCCCCTATTTTCGTAAACCCCCATTTCGGTTCCTACTACGCGGAGTGTAGCATTTTGGGTGCATTGGGGGGGAGGGGGGCACCAGATACCTCCATGAACCAACTCAGGAGCCAGCAGCCTCGAATACCCCTAAGCCCCCGCCCCTCCCCTTGGCCCTTAAACTTAAAACCCTTCAAGCCCCTACTACAGCCCACACTACTGTCCCCTCAGTCCTACACCTTTGCACTTGCTGGGCCCTAAGAAACCCTGCTACACCCCAAAACCCTCGAAACCCCCCTTTGCCTCGCTCCACGAACACCCCCCCCCCCCCCCCCCCAAACCCTAAACCCTAAACCCTAAACCCTGAGCCCTTTTTGCATTCCGGATTTAAACCCAAAACCCTAGAACCTGCGTCCTGATCCCTGATTCCTAAAACCTGCACCCTAAACTTTTCTTGCATCTGGACTCCTGTGGGTGTTGCCAGAAACCGCCCAACCCTAAACCCTGAACCCTAGCCCGAAACTCTACACCTCAGATGCTAAATTCTAAGCCCTGAACCCTAGCCCTAAACCCTAAACCCTAAATCCTAAACCCTAAACCCATGTTTTGATGCAAAGCCCTCAGCCCGAGGGCGCAGCCCGCTCGAGCCCCAAGCTCAAAGCCAGTCCCTCCTGAGCCGCCTCCTCGGTCCGCTTGAAGGTCGTGGCATACAATACAGTGTAGGGTTTAGGGTTTAGGGTTTAGGGTTTAGGGTGTGTCTATATATGTTTGTATATAATACATGTACCACTATCATGTGTATGTATGTATGCATGTATGCATGTATGTATGTATGTACCGACTCGTAGACTATCGCAGAGACAAGCTTTGATACATCATTATGTGTGTTGGGTATTACAAAGCAAACAAAGCAAACAAACACATACAAACATGATCTTATGCATGCAGAGTTATAAAATCACACACACACACACACACAGATACATGTATATATATATATATATACACGCATATGTATACATGTATATGTGTATGTATACATATGTATATATATATATAGATAGATAGATAGATATGGATATACATATATGTGGTTTTATTTGCTGTTGTTGATGTGCTCATCTTGTTTTATGGGGGTGGGAGGCAGGAAGGTTCGGCTTCTGGGGTCTACCAGGTCAGGGGGCTTGGTGTTTAAGCGGCAAATCTTGCTGGAATCTAGACTAGACCCAGGAGTAGCCTAGGAAAAAACAGGGTGCCGTTTGTGTGGTTTCAAGGGGATTACAAGGGAACCCCAACCTTAAAAAAGGAAACGAGGGCCTACTCCAGGCCCTCGTGGACAAATTCAGGGCCGCGCAGCTGCAACCAAACGCCGGCGTACCTTCCGAAGCGTTTCGCAGGCAAGAGCGCACGTGCTGCTTCGGATGCACGGACATCCCTGGAGATTCACTTCGCGTTCCATCATCTTTTTTCCCTTTTGCTACATGTGAGGTCTGGAACTTCGAGTCTAGAAGTCTAAAACCTATCAGCCAGGAAGGGCGGGAACCGCCCATGGCGGAAAGCGAGTGATTGGATGCCCACAGCTGCCAAAACAACCAGACCATGGGCCCCCTCCCAGAAACCCTGTGGCCAAGCCCATGTCCAAAAACTAACTTCCCCGCCACTCGCTTGCCCACACTTTTGCCTGGCTTTGGTACTACTTTCGGCTCCCTTGCCGCTCGCGGCAAGGGCGCGGAGGCGTGGGCGCAGGCCCGAACCTGGCACCTAGCATGCCATACAAAGCCTAGCGAGCAAAAAGTCCGGGCATCCCAAAGAAACATTGCGGTTTAGGAGGGTTTAGGGTTTAGGGTTTCAGGGTTTAGGGTTTTAGGGTTTAGGGTTTAGGGTTTAGGATTAGCTGGACTTTGGGGCTTAGGGTCCCAATATCCAGGTCCACAGAATCCTGCGTCGCATCGCGCTGCCACCAACTACGATCGTAGGGTAGGTTCATGGTCCCTCAACAGGGGCCTTTGATATTGGGAACCCACAATATATACCCCCTATATTAGATATATTCCCCTTTGAGATATATTATATTCCCCCTGTACTATATACCCTATAAAACCACGGCGTCTCTTCTTCAGAGCCCTTGAAGGAAGGCAAGGGACCATAAGAATCTTGGTATAGCTCAGGAACCATGCGATAATAAGGACCTTTTCTTGGGTTGGATACTGGTTACTTTATAAGGGATACCACTGGGCTACCGAGAAGGCAGGCCATGCTAAGGCGCGATGTAACTTTAGGGTTTAGGGTTTAGGGTTTAGGGTTTAGGGTTTAGGGTTTAGGGGCTGGAGCTTAGGTCCCTCCCCTCCGTCTTCTGTGCTCCGCCCCATCTCCGCCCTCAGGGTCCTGGGGTGCACGGCTTGCGGCCATGGCACACTGCGCAGAACCCTGCTGACCCCCTTTTGCAGTTCATCCCTAAACCCTAAACCCTAAACCCTAAATCCTAAACCCTAAACCCTAAACCCTAAACCCTAAACACCCTAAACTGCCCCAAAGCTCACGAACTTGAGGATGCCCAGAGAAGACTTCAGCTGGGGCCATTCATTCCTGCTGAGCCCCCTTTTGCATCCAGGGGCAACAGGGGTTT